AGTGTAAATGGCTTTTTAAAATGAGAAGACAACATTACAGAGAGCAGATGTATTAACATGATAGCTAAAAATGGAACCTATATAGATGCCTACTAATAGATATAGGAACTGGAAAATAAAAGTTAATGTTTCTCTCAGACACTTTAACTGCCATGCCCTGTATTTGACCTTCCCTGAGGGCATCCGTTTGGCCAGTGCTGCAGATAGCAATAGACTAGATGGAGGCTAGTTGTTAGATAGATAGATAGATAGATAGATAGATAGATAGATAGATAGATAGATAGATAGTATTTAAAGACTTTAACATGCCAGTCACTCCAACTTTTGAACAGAAAACATTAATTAATTGATTTTATTTGCAAAAACATTTATGATGCCTCCTCCTAGGACTCTAGGCAGGTCACAGTAAAACAATAACTACATCTTGAATGAATGGCATCAGCAACTAGAGAGGGCCGATTTCTTAATATCCCATATATTATGGGCTTCTGCCCATGTTCCAAGGAAATTATAGAAGATTTTATACATTATTTATTGTACTGCCCCATTTCTTCTTCAGCACTTCAGCACTTTTATATAGGTTTTATCTTATTTGTTATGACCAGTGGTCAAAACAACAAATGAATTGATTGCTATCTTGAATGACTATTTCTTTATGGGAAGAAAAATGCAGAAATGAGTGAAAGAGACAAGATTTCAAATGGAGATGGTTGTCTTCTGGCCCTCTTGTGAAATTCAGTGTCAAAAGCAGAGGGTTGTGATATAAACGTTTAGTCTGGAATCTCTCATTAAAATGTAAGTGGTTTCTTGCTATTTTTTGTCATAGTTTGTAATATGACAGACTTAGCAGTTTTCCACAGGAATTAGGTCAGGGTTAGGCAATCTTTTGATCCAATGGGCACCTTGGAAATTTTGAAAGCATATTGCTTGCCTGTCCACAAATTGGCTTCTCTGCATATGTGGCCAAGCATAAAACAACCATATGCTAGGAGGAAAACTAGAAATCTTGAATTCAGCCAGCACTTCTAGTAAATAAAGATGATGCTGTAGGCAGTGCAGCTTACCAGCTTCCTTTTTTTATTTTTTATTTTATTTTATTGAATCTTTAAAAAGTACAATTTAAAAAATCAGATGCTTAACAGGTGCACATGAGAGTAACATTGCTTACCCTTCTTTTAGTTGATCCTGGATAATATATATGCCCTCCCCCTATACCATACAATTAACTCACTAATTTAGGTTGGTTGGTTATTTGAAGGAAACCCACACTTTTCACATGCAAATTATTACATAACTGAATCATGAGTTATAAGTGCATCTTTTTTTGGACAAAACTGACTTATAATCTATCTGGCATAAGCTTCCATTTCCTGCCAATAGTAAAGGCTGGCATAGTTATTACTGTTGCAACTATTGGACAAATTATAAGTAACTCCATTCATGTAATTAGCCTTTGCATGGATGTTCTAAAAAATAGTTCCAAATGGATTGGAACTGAAGAAGACAGTAAAGGATTCAAGAAGAAGACATACATTCCTCCTTCCTCTCACTGCCAATGTTCTCCATCTTGCATCCGATTGGCTTGAAAAACAAAATAAAACAATTGCATGACTTGATTCAGGAAGAAGAACTCTTGATTAATACAGAAAAAAGAAAGAGTTCTAGCAGAAGCTTTTGAATATGATTGGGCAAGGAATTTTCACAGACCATGTTATTCCCATTTAACCACTGGTTGGCTTATATGCAGCTCCCAATTGAATAAGAATCAGAGGTTAGGAGGCATTGTGACTAATTATAGGATATTCCTATGAATTAAATGTTGCTCAACTGCCTAATATTCCTGATATTTGTTATCTTCCAGTTTCTCAAATTATTTTTCTGAGTTGATCAGAGCTAATAAGTTATTTCTGGATAGCAACCAATGGAGACTGAGTCATCTGCCACCAAGTTCACTTTTAATTACAAACCTAGCAAGCTTATGCCAGACAGATTATATACTAACTACTATTATACTTTGAGACATGCAGGACAGTGGAGGTAATCCACTGACTAAAGCTGAGATTTATGATGACGGACACATAATCCTCCATGATTAATGAGGAGCTGAAAACTCTTCATTAGTCTAACTCCTTGGTTAGCCTAGTTGAATTATTTGACAAAAATGTTAAAATCCATTTTTACTTTTTGCCTTGAGAGGAAATTTCAGTTACATGAAATAACAAACTGTTCTTGCTAAGTCTCTTAAATTTTTTAAAATTAGACATATCTTCATTCCATTTTTTTCATCCTGATATTTCCAGCCATATGTTTCCATAAGCCTCCTATACTCTGACACAATTGCCATTTTTATATGTATTCTGTTTTTTTAAAAAACCCACCTCAAATCCAAGGGTGCACATAACTGGGCCTGGGATAGAAGGATTCAGTGTCTGAAGAATCTGAACTTCTCTACTCTAAGAGCTAATTCAGTTGAGCTGTTTGGCTACCCTAAATAAATTCCCCACATTGCTTTTAATAGAAGAAGAGAGAAACTAAAAACAAAAGAGCAAAAGCAAATGGAAAAGAATGGAGATGTGCATATATCTTACCATCCTTGGGCTGTGCTTAACTGGCACTTGCTTTGGCTGAAGCATTTCAATCACACTTTTGGATGGTTGCGCCCAGCCAGTTCATATGAATATATATGAAACTGTGGATTTCTGTCATAAATCTTATTTCAACCATTTGTTGCTTCAAGACAATTTGTACAGTGTACTTCTCCCTACCTCAAACTGAGAATTGAAGGGAGAAGATTCTAGACGTTATCTCATCACTTCCTCCATCCTAATTTTTTACCATAAGAAATTGTTAAGGAGCACACTTGGAACAATACTTTTTATTGGAAGCACTGCAAGCTAGACACATGGATAAACTCTTGACAACTTTTCCCAACATGGCACCTTCCAGATGATAAATCCTTTTTATTTAATTTAATCGAGAAATCAAACACATTGCCTCTGTGCTTCTAGAGTTAAAGTGGTGGTCATTACTTTTACAGATTTATTGCCCAACTCAGTACCTCCAAATGTGCTAGAACTATGACTCCCAGTGTTATGCTGACTGGGAATCCTTTTAATCTATTATCTCAACAGACCAGGCAAGAGCCAAATCTGAACTAAACGAACTCGGGCTTGATTGCCTTAAGGACTTTTTGTTTCCTAGAAATTGGCCTGGACTCTGAGATTCTGCTCATTACGTCTTCCTGTTGGGCTGTAATGGTTGTACACAAGAAACAAGGCCACCTCAGAGGTGGTTCTGCAGCTTGCTCTCTCTCTAATGGTTTTTATACCAAGATAAGGGATGTTTATTTCAATAGATGGTTAATATGCAGTTTACGCTGCTGTTTTTTTTTTTAATCGATTGCTACTTCAGATTATATTGGGTTGTATTCACACATATTTTAGATTCATCTATCATATTTATCCATAATATTGTTGAACAAGCCATAGATATGTTTTATATAACACTAAGCCAAAACTCATGATTCACAAATCACAGTGAATAGTGCTAAAATGAAACCAAATAAAGTACATAATGGCTAGCATAATAATGCTTACAGCAGAGCCAAATTGAAATCAGTGAGGCAAAAAACTCAGTATTTTTAATTTGTATATTTCCCAGTTTTATTATTTTACAGTTGTATTGTATTTTACATCTGCCCGTCCCATCAGATTCAGAAGAGGTATGTTGCCCACCTTATGGAACATTCCCCCCCTACAAGGTGAGGTTGGCTCCATCCCTGTTAATTTTCCATAAGTCCCTCAAAAGTTTGTCATCAGGCCTGGGAGTGCCATGGGAATAGTGAGTTGTTGAGGTGGCTCCATTGCTGGTAATATCTGTTGCCCTCTCCTTGCCTTTTACTCATAACTTCAATATTTTTTACTTGTTAATTGTTTTATACCACTGTTTTATGGGGTTTTTTATTGTATGTCACCCAGAATCATGTTTTTTGTGAGATAGATGGCCATATAAATATGATGAATAAATAAAGTATAGCATGCATGAGAATAAATGAAATGCTTCATCAGTGGTTTGGTACTGAATAGGGAATAAAACAAAAATGTGTGATGTCCCCTTTCTTGTTTAATGCATTCATGGAAAAATGTGTAAGTATGTGAATGTATGTTTTTATAGGTAGACACTGCCATGTTGTCAGCTGAGAATGCAAATGATTTGCAGCAAATATTATATAGATTGTATACCAATTATACAAATTAAAAATACTGAGTGGAATCTCCATTTAATCCTGTTCAGTCATGACTTATTTGCCCCAGTGATTTCAATTTTGGGACAGAAAAAATAATACCACAGCATGTTTGCACCATGATTTCATGCAAACAGGGAAAGGTCTGGACAGGGTTAAATTGCCCTTAGCTGGGCCAATGTTACAGGAGTATTTTCCCTCTTATTCCAACAGCTCAAGGTCTGTAAAATCTCATAGGTTTTGCCACCCATTACCTTGGAAGGAAGTTGGACAACTGGCACTCCCTGGCAAATAAAAACAGAATAGGAATAGGCAATGGAGACAGAGAATTTCAAGTCAATTTAATTTTTTGCCAGTTCATGGATAGGTGAACAGCATTGTAATTCAGCAGCGGGGAAAAGCTAAGGCCAGCCTGCATCTACTTTTCTTCCACACGAGCACTCCATGTCCCTTCCCTCCGCCCTCCCGCCCCGACTTTTCCCTCTCATCTGGTCCTACTACAGCCCGCTTCCCTTCTGCCACAGGCCAAAGAAGCTTAGGATGGTCACTATAGCAACAGCCAATCCGAAGCCAGGAAGGCAGGGGCTTTTCGGGGACAATAATTCGGCACGCCCTGATTGTGCAGGCAAAGGCAGGGACTGGCGGTGGTGAAGCAGCAGCAGCAGCAGCAGCAGCAGCAGCAGCAGCAGCGCTCAGCCTCGCGGTCAGCCGGGTTACCGACGCTCGAGACGGCGCGCAGTCCAGGAGCAGCCCCTCGCCTTGGCAGAGAGACTGTTTAGAGAGTTGTGCTTGGATTTGTTCCTCAGTGCGAACAAGCCATCCGGTGAGTCGAAAGGCGTCATGGAACTTGCAGAAAGCTACGTAAAGTTTGGGAAAAAGGCACGAGAAGCAAAGGGTAACTTTCTGCTTCCCGCCCCCCAACTAAGTAAAGCGCAGGTGATGGTGCGGACACCCAGCTTGTAAATAAATGCGCCGCGTTTGTTGCTGTATATATAAAAAATGCTTCTTGGAAGGGAGACCACTGGAAATCAGTGGCGCTTAATTCTAACTGAAATGGAACATCAGTGTGCTCTGCGATGCTTTTATTCCAAATGAACCAACGAATGTGACGTGTGTGTGTGTGTGTGAGAGAGAGAGATACACGATGAGTTCATACAATTCTGAAATTCTGCGAAGTGTAGTTAATGCACTGGGTAGTAACCGTTAATTTCCTTTTCCCTATTCGAGGCTGGTTGGAAAGGGGGAGTTTGCACGTGCCTGTAATTGCTTTCAATCCTGGCCCCAGTACCTTCTTCCTTTGCTTGAGTTTTAAGTGCTGTTAGGGAAGAAAGTTTAAGTTTGTATTGTTTCTTAAGGCTGTAAAATGCAAAAATCCAATGCACCCCTCCCCTTTTTTTAATTTACAGAGGTTAAGTAATTCCTTAATTTGATTGTGTGTATAGAAAATCTTTCATTCTTTGTCTAGCTTTCATGAAATATTCTCCTTTTATTGAAAAGTCTAATATAAACTTCTCCAGAATCTGGAAGTCTCTAAACAGGTTAGAAGAACAACTGTCAGAGTTCTCAACCAGCAATAGCTCCGGTTGGGGGAAGCTGGAATATTGATCAAAGAAGTAACTGATTTTGTTCATGTTCAGTCAGAATTTAGTTCAACAGAACTTACTCTTAGTAAGTGAAAAGTTAGTGAAGACCAGATGAGTTGACATAACTAATGAGTAGAAGAAAAAGAATTCCACAATTGGGAGACTGTCATGAAAATACTACCAAAATGTGCATTATGCACAAGCACCCTCCTGATTTAGTCTTTAGTGAATGGAAGTAGTCTTATGTGTATGGATTCCTGTCCAAATTGTGTCTTTGCATAATAAAGAGTGCAGGAAAAGGAGGGAAATGTACATCTTGTACCAAGGTTTATGGCTGATACTAACAGCTTTGGCTGTTCAGCTCTTTTTGAGTAATGACTGATCCCCATCTTCCTCCTTTTCCCTACTTAGCACTGCCATCCTTTAAGAGGTTTCAGCAAGTGGAAGCACCTAGCTAACTTAGTTCTTGGAAGCTAAGCAGGCTCTAGTCTGGTTAGTAATTGGAGGGGAGACTTCCAAGAAGTAAATGGGCTGTCAGGTGGACTGAGAACTTGGGGGGAAAAAAGCATCCTGGAGGAAGGCAGTGTCAAAACACTTTGATACTGCTATCATGATAATGACAATTGTGTCCATGAAGTAGTGAAGGAATTGAACTCAACTTGAAAGATACTATTTGCTCTTTACACCTTTTAAAGCACCAGCCATTTGTTGGGAGAAAATACTCCCAGCACAATCATTAATCTGTACACAAATTAACCTACATGTATGCAAAGAACCACCCTCCCCTCATCTTACGTCTGTTAATCATCTTTGCTATTACTGTTTGAAGAGTTGAGAAGTATTGGAATATTGGAGTTGAGAAGCAAATGGAATATTCCATCAAATTTCTCTAATTGTTTCACATTTATGTCTTGAATTTCATACATTGCTTTCATATAGAAATTATTAACATCTGAAATCTGTTAAGAAGATTAAAAACTAGATAGTGAATTATCTTCAATTTCATTTAAGCTGCAAGGGATTTTTTTTTTTTTGCAATTTGTTTTAAAATGGGGATTTTCAGCATTATTTTAATCATGGCCGTTCCCCTCATGGAATAGGTATTAAGCTTAAACATCATTACTGCAAAGCTATTTATAGGAACTTACTTGGTTCAGCCAGTGTATTCTTGAGAGTGTTGCAAACTAGGAATGATTCATCACGTTATCAAGCAAAACAGTTTTCTCTTTATCACATGGCCTTAGAATGTCATCTGCATTGAGAAGTGCTGCATTTTAATAGTTATTATATTCAGTGGAAAACCAAATCAGGATTTTTTTTAAAAAAAGCTGTAACTGAAAATATTCTATTTTAAAAACCGTTTGGTTCAAATTGATGACAGATTGGGATGCTGCTATGGTAGATAGGTTTCCAGAGTATAAAATGCAATAATAAGTAATAGAATGTCTATTCTATTACTGTCTAATGTCTATTCAATAAGATAAGTTAAAATGAAGAGAATTTGTTTGTGAGGAGTTGATGGACCCTAAAGAGCCAATACTGTTATTATCCCTAAAGAATGATTTAGTAACTGGTAAACCTTGAATTGCACAATGCGAGAGATGTTTCATAAAACAAAAGGTAGAGAAGGTAATTCAGTCCAGATTAAGTACCAGATATCCTCAGAAGGTGACTGGAGTTCTCAGTCTGTTGCTTCTTCTGCTGCTCCACAGTAACCTAGATTAGCTTTTTAGACCCTGGTGCCCTCCAACTGCATTGGGATAGAATTCAAATTATTCCCACCTGAGTCCATCCTATCTGGAAAGCACCATGTTGGAGAAGACTGGCCTAAATGCAGAAACCAAAGAAATATTGTTTAAGCAAATGCCACCTGCCTATTGGGTTTTCTTCCATCAGTGGTTTCTGTATAGTATTTGGAAAGACATGGATATTTGTTTCCGTACTTTGTATGGAACTTATAGTGCTGCAGATACCTGACTTCAAACAGTCATTCTGCACCCGAAAGATCATCAGTACAGAACATGTACTTGAAATGTGTATGAAAGAACGTATGGTCAGATTGTCCTATGGATAATAAACACTGGGTATTTCTAAATAATAACATTTTTGATTTTTTAAAGGGAACACAAGTGCAACTAAAGAACATAGAGAGGGCATGCTGCGGGTCCCATTGGCTAGGGAGCTTCATTTGGTGGGTCCTAGGTGGTGGGACTTTTCTGCTGTGGCCCCCACTCTATGGAACATCCTTCCCCCCAAAGTGAGGTTGGCTTCATCCCTTTTAACTTTCTGGAAATCCCTCAAGACCTGGTTGTGTCAGCAGGCCTGGGAACCCCAGGAGACTGAGGAAATATTGAGATGGCTCTAGTGTAATTAACACCTGCTCTTTGCCTAATCTCTTTTTTATTATGTTTTAGTTTTGTGCCTTTTATAATTTTAAATTTTATAATATGAATAACATTAATATTAATTTGTACATATTGTTTTTAACTTTGTTGTATAGTCTCCTGGGGTTCCCAGGCCTGCTGACACAACCAGGTCTTGAGGGATTTCGAATAACATTAATATTAATTTGTACATATTGTTTTTAACTTTGTTGTATGCCACCCAGAGTCACTCAGTTGTGAGATGGGCAGCCATATAAACATGACAAATAAATAAATATGTTTTTAGTTGTAGCCTGAGAAAATGAGTTGAACTTGTTTTAAAACTCTTTGGATGTGTACTATATAACAAGATCAATATTTTTGAGGAAGAGGACAAATATGGACACATACAGCAGCTTTCCACTGCCAGTGAGGCAAACCTTATGCCATAACTTATTACATCTCATAGAAGTGAGTGGGGAAGAGGGAACAGAACCACTATGCCCTATCCTATTCTAAAAAATAGTGTTATGTATTGGGTTTAAGACAACAAAAGGAGATAACAGTATCCTGTATTAGCTTCCTTGTTAAACAAAGAAAGTTGGAAAATTGTGCTTTTGAACAAACCAGTATTGGTGTTCTTTAAACTCTTTTTGGTTGCTTCTATCTATAGGTAGTCCTTGCTTAACGACTGTTTAACGATGGTTTGAAGTTATGACACCCTCGGAAAAAGTGCTTTACGACCTATACTCTCACAACCGTCACAAACCGTCGCACTACCCCTGAAGCCACATGTTTGCAATTCAGACACTTGGCAACTGGCTCACATTTATGATTGGTTGCAGCATCCTGCAATCATGTGTTTGTGATTTGTGACCTTTTTTGTCGGTTTCTGGCAACAGATGTCCATTGGGGAAGCTGGATTGCTTAATGACCATGTGATTCACTTAATGACCACATGATTCACTTAACAGTGATGATTCACTTTACAACCATTGTAAAAATTGTCGTAAAATCAGGTCTGGTCACATGGTAACTTGCTTAGTGACCACCCTGCTTAACAACCAATTTTCTGGTCCCTGTTGTGGTTGTTAAGCAAGGATTACCTATATAACTTTTCAGATAAGCATATACATCTTCATTCCTGGAAAATGAAATCCATCTGGAAACCTTGGGTATAAAAACAGATGGTAGGAAATAAAATGTACACATGCACTCTGACACTTTTCTTAATAGGACAGTATTGTGGAGCATTTTTACTTGTTACTGTGGAGCACTGTTACTTGGGCTTGCTTGGTTTGCTCCTTAAGAAAAGAAGTGTTGCTGAGCTTATATGGATGGGTTAAATTTATGGCTAACTCATAACTTGACCTCAATGGATGTGGAGTACATAGCCTGACTTCTTCTCAGCTTATTTTCTCTCACAGATTTGGGTGATAAGCTGATTTAATATTATATCAGTTAATAAATCCAAAAGCAAAACAGCTTAGATAAAAACAAGAAATGTCCCATTTGAACTCTTCTGTAAGCTTCTATTTCAGGTTAGAGACTTAAAGAGTATGATCTCATTAAGGTTGGAATATATCAATCTATTCTGTTATAGATCCACATTTATTTTTATCTATAAGAATTGTGTGGCATTGATTCCTTGAGCTGTCATTCAGCTGATTCTTCATCCAATGTGTTTATTAAGCAATTTCCAGCATATTCTTTCAAACTTTTCTTGGTTATTAAAACTGCTAGTTTTTTTTTAACAGTCATAGATAACAGATCTGTAGTATCTGCAGTCCGGAGAATAAGTTTGAAGTAGATTGTGGTGGGATATCAGTGAGAAATCCAAGTACCTAGCTAAATAACAACATAATATTTAGCTCATA